TTGTCCCCACTGCATAGCCCCTAACCCCAAATATCCCAACACAGCTCATAACAATAAGATTCTTGTTTCCCCAACATGTTTAATTGTAAGAATAGAGATAATGGTCAACTCTTGAGAAGAACCAAACTCTGGTGCCATCTTGGAAGTGCTGCATCACCTCCTCTTCTTACTTCCTTGAACAGCAATATTTCTGGATTTCTTCTGCAAGCCCCAGGCAGTGCAGGATGCGTTTCTTTTCAGCAGCCAGTTCCTTCTCAGAGAACTGGCCCAAGAGTTTCTGGACAAATATATTTTGATCTTTCAGAAATATGTTCTTATTCACTCCTACATTTGGCACATTCTCCAGGGACCCAGACTTGAAATGGAAGCTTAAATATCTATTTCGTTTTAAACCAGGCCCTTTTTCTTCAATCCATGACAGTGGACTGCAAAGACAGAAGACAAAAGAATCGTGTTAGAGATTACACAAGAGCACAAGTGGGTGCTTGCTGGCACCAGACCGCCTGGTAACAGGTCCTTGTCAGGTACCCATCCTCCTTGCAGTCACTAGCCTCCCAGAGGCTGTGGGTGACTGTGTCAACCTCACAGCCAAAAAGTCTTTTATTTAATTTTGCCATCAAGCAGGGGAATTCCTTCAGTGACTTTTTTTTTCTTTTTTTTCTGGGATGGAGCCTTGTTCTGTCGCCCAGGCTGGAGCGCAGTGGTGCAGTCTTGACTCACTGCAACCTCCGCCTTCTGGGTTCAAGCTATTTTCCTGCCTCAGCCTCCCAAGTTGCTGGGATTACACGCGCCTGCCACCATGTCTGGCTACTTTTTAAAAAATATTTTTAGTAGAGATGGGGTTTTGCCACGTCAGCCAGGCTAGTCTTGAATTCCTGACCTCAGGTAACCCACCTGCCTTGGCCTCCCAAACTGCTGGGATTACAGGCGTGAGCCACCGCACCTGGCCTCCCATGACTAGTTTTAAAAGCTCATAGTGCAGTCTAGCAAATGTTCTAGGAGAT